CAATCATTGACTCAACTTTTTGGTTTGGAGAGCGTATCCTATCCTGACATGATGGACGCTACCGGAGACGAAAGTTGAGATGGCTGTAACGGCTTCTGGCACCGAATGTCGGATTTCCATTCGACGAGAGATGGATGGCCCAATCCACGGAACATTGATCACTATTAAATCGCATATACCGATGGAAACGTACTACGGCGGTCGAATATATTACAGGTACGATCTCTTTAGACTTATCTCCGATCGCCATCGGACCGTCTTCATTTCATGAAAACGCTTTCATCGTTGACATCATGCTCGATTAATAAATGGAAAAGTAGCTTCGCGTCGCGAAGCGAGTAGAAAGTTTGACAAGCTGCCGGGTCGAAACAGCGCTGTCCATTATTTACATGTGGACGTATACGCTTAGACGATGCGCGGAGTCTTCGGAGAGGCAAAAGTTGCGAGTCCGCGATGTTGGCGGCGAACCTGGCCATCAGGTCCGATTCGATAAAAGATGGATGATCCAACGTCGGCCGTATAGTCGATCGGTCTCCGAGCTGACGCCTCCGAAGATGAAATGCACCCTTGGCGACCCCAGAACCGACCCTAACACCCTAAGCCCCCTCCCCCGTTTCTCCCCCCTTACCCCCGCGCTCAATAACACTTTGCCAACCGAAGGCATATTTACGAGAGAGGCGCGTGCCCCGCGTCGGAACGCACCGCCGTCTACTGAATATACGCGATTTGGCATACAAATTCCGTCATATGTAACCCGGAAAAATGTTTATTGGCCCGACTAAAGGTTATTAGGTCCGGCCTCTTGGTGACCTCCCTGACGTAACCAGTCGCATCACGTAGCTCCATGAATTGGATCCACCGAGTCGCATAGCGTCGAAAGTGAAAGCATAAGTCTTTTTTACAACCGACTGTTCTGTACTTTGCATTCCACGTGGCGCGACGTGGATGCGCCATGTCTTCTTTGAAAAGTTATAACGATAAAAAATTATTGCTTTAATAAAACACGCACGCAACTCGACATTAGATACCAATGTTCTTCTATAAATAATTCAGAATCCTGTATTTAATTTACGTGCATATTCTAGTCCTATTATAATTATTATGACACGTACATTTGTAGAATAAAGAATTTAATGCACGTTTTAATGTCCATCTTTATACTGAGCGAGATGTAGCGATTTTGGAGAAAATGCCATTTCATGGAACGCATCGAAATTTTATAGGAATAATCGAAGAAACGGTAGTAAGAGAGAATGAACGCGAGGAGAAAACGAAGGACCATTCGTTTCCTCGCGTAGTTCCCAGCACGGCATACCGGGGAACAGCAGTACATTATTTCTTGATGTCAAATAAAGCAATTAGCATGTGCCCTGACCAGGGTCCGCAGGTTCTAACCCGAGTAATCTCGCCGGGGTCCCCGGCGTGTGCGACATCTTCATCAGAGAGGCTGACCCTCCTCTCTCTTCTCCTTTCTCCGCCACTTTCCATCCCGTCTCCCCTTGTGCCGGACGATGGCGTGATCACGTGACTACTCTGCACCCCCAGAGACGAGGGATGCTGGATGCTGCGAAAGAGCGAGAGCGCGGATCGACTAGAAGAAGATGGCGACCGTAAGGGCTGCAAGGGAGAGGGTTGGATGGAGAGAAATCAAGGGGGCGAGAAGGTTGTGTCCACCGAGTGAAGGCGCTTCCAAGGGAAATTTCACAAAGGCTGACCCGCTGGTAATGAATGTTATATAACCCTTTTAATGCTTTAAGCCTCTTAGATTTTTCAGTGCGCTCTCGACGTGCGCGCTTCCTTCGTTCTCAACCTCCTTCTCCTGCTTCTCCTTTCCTCCCGCGGAATGAGCCGGAGGTAGTTCGCGACGAGCGACGGAGGGGGTGGGCAAAGGGGAGTCGTGCCTCAGGGTAGGTAATTATGTGGCGGACGTAAATTAAGCTTGTTTAGATTGGGATTTTTATTAAGGTCCTTTATGAAAGAGTGCCGCCACTAAATGGCGCACAGTATACACTCCGACACTGGTACTCCTTTAAACGCCTCTGGAAAAGAACCCCTGATACGTTTATTTCATGAGTACTGCTTGCGACAATGAAATTTAAATGTCAGATTTGTCAGACATAGCGATTTTATAAAATTATATTTTAATATTAAATTAATATATTATTTAATGGTGTATTATTATATAAACATTAAGGTGCTGTATTACTGACAAACTGTCAAACTCAACTACGATCTTTTTTAAACGATTTTAATAGTTTAAAGACTTTTTTTTATTTTCAGAGATTTTTAACAAGAATGAAATATATATGAGATATTTAACAATTTTTGTAACATTACAATAATTGTGAAATACGGAAAGCAACGTTTCAGAAGGAACTCTGGACTTGCTAAATTTCCGCAAGACCATCCCCAAAGAAGCCGTAAGCAACGATCAGGAGATATATCTAATAGCAGTAGGACGTACGCACTAAGGAACATGGAACAAATAAGTAAGGATTAGTTTAATCGTGCTTTAGGAGTCGAACGTTACGGGTTTATGTCACCATTCCCTTTTTCGAGGGTAAGAAAAAGCTATAGCTCGTATACGAGCAAGTTTACGAACCAACGATAGTGCGTAAAGAAATTCAATTGATATATATCGACGTATATACTTTTCCTATATATACAAAAATCCACTTTCCTTAATAAATTTTAAGTGCACGTGATTATCATTCTTCCAAAAATAAATAATTCTAATCATCAATCTTTCTCGAGTCATAATATTTTTACATAGTTAATATAACTAATCACTCTAGCGTTACAGATATCAGTTCCAGAAACAAACATGTAAAAATATAAAATTTCCAAATATAACTTATCCCTTTAATTTGTTCGATTCGCATACATCGTATGTGGGCATGTTAATTCCGACATGTCCGTAACGAGCATAGCGCTACGTCAAACAGCTAACTGCTTTCGCACGAAGGCACCGGGAGCGAACTTCGAGAAGCAGTTCGCAGGTACAGACCGTTAGCTATACCCAGTGTATATGTATACCTCCGAGCCGGGGTAAGCAGAGAACGAAGTTCTCGGTGGAAGTTTAATTCAACTGGACGGGCAGCCGGGTGTAAACGCTGAATGATTTGTTGCAAATCGAAAGCACCTCACTCCGCGCGCGCAAACTCAAGCTCGAACTTCAACTTCCTGCTTGCACTTATCACGGTATATTTTATGTAATATTGTATCGCGGCTATCGATTATCGAGTGGGTATCAATGTATTAATACTTTACAAAAGGGAGTGCCGAGGAGTAGATAAATATGCAGATATAAATCTCTTTTATGCATGATATAATATTTTTTCCTTAATTAAAATATATCTTATAATCTATTCTAATTCTTATAATCTGTTTTAATTAAATTGACATTTGCAAAGGTTATTAGGTTTAGATTAGATTTAAATATAGTCTTTTCTCTCTCATACTTGTAAGTAAAGTTATTTTATACAGCCGAGTAACCTACTCTCTATTCTTAGCATTTGCTAAGTTTTATTTTTTATTAAGAACAGATTTGTTCCACTATTAATCATACATTATAATAACATCACAAAATAATGAATAATAAAAAATGTTGCTCAATTATCTGAAGATTAATTATAATACCGCACTCGCCTTTTTCGCCTGTATATTATATTAATAAATTAATCAATAATTAGAGAATTTTATGCTCACAGCAATTATCGCAAACTGCTTGAATGTTTTTTCGAAGTGACGGTTGGCTGGTTGAGTATCGAACATTGAGATCTAACGTCAATTTTCTTTGGTAGTTTCGCGAGGTCGGGCATGCCCGTTCGTTCTCTCGATTAGGCTTTGCCGTCATTAAAAGTTTATAAAGAAGCTGAGGTACGAAACGGGCAACGATGTGCCGGTGAGACGGAGAAGGTGGTAGATGATGGTTCAGCACCCTCAGAACGAAGATGGTAGAGAGAAACCGGCACGACAGAGCGAAGGAGGAAGAGAGTAGGAAAGAGAGAGACAGAGAAGGAGGGATGAAGAGAGATTTCAAGCAAGTTTTCTCATGTGCAATGCATAATGAGGAAAGGCAGACGGCGCATAAAAGGCCTACAAATGAGGCTCAAGTTATATATATACGTACTAAGTAGGTACACGTAACTAACACGTCGATGTAAACGACTTTCTCGACGTGACAAGTATTTTTGAAAAATCTTTTAATATTGCATTGTATCTTTTATCTTTAAAAAACAAGAAAATATCTTTCAATATATATCCCAACGTAATTATTAATTTGTAAGTTGCATAATTAGTTTGATATTAATATTTACCAATATTAAATAATCAATTAACGTTACTCCCTTAATAATACTTTTATTTTCTCGTTTTAATACTAATTTATTTTTATTATTTATCAGCTTAATTATTTGACAATGTCTTAATAAATAAAAATTTTAAAGCAATATATATGTAATATAAAAATACATTTTAAAATTGAGAATTTGAAAATCCTGTGTTTAAATAGAATAGTAATTAGTCCGAAAAAAGCAAGACGTGCGCATTCTAAAATGTAATATTATCGATTACATTGTGATTCTTAGTACGCAATAACATAAAGTGCTCGTGTAAGATTTCGTTGATCGGTAAGCACAGACCTTGGTAATTAAAGATATGAACACGCAATGTTAGAGTCGCGGCGCACGAAAACCAATTAAAGGTGTTAGATCGATCCTCCCTAGTAACTGACTTGCTAGGCACTTCGATAAAAGATGCAAATCCTCGTTTATGACGCTATATATTCCTTTATCCAATTATCGAGATACTACATATTAAAACGATTTTAGATAATTGTCAAATCATCAACGGTGTTATCGCTAGTATATATTATTTCCATATCTTTGCGCCGTTATTATAATAATTCTTTTATATTAAAAAAAAAAAGGAATTATATCGTACTATAATTTATATACGTATACTTATTATACGTACTCATTTAGATCATTTGAACTTACCTTGTTCATGATTTGGCGGGGATATTCCCGCCTCGCAAGGGACGGCTCTGTAACAAAAGAGAAAGATACCAGTTACTTCTCTAAAAAATTGTAAAATATATTCTGCATGTAATATATAATTAGTATACTCCTCTACTGCTATTTTCAGTATATGAAAACGAGCAATTCAACATAAATTCAATAATCTGTTCGCATATATTTTTTTTTACATATCACGAGTAATATATTCGGTTAATGTGACTTTTTATTCAATTGTGTTGCATAAAATGTTAGATAAAAATGAAAAATTTCGACGCGAGCATAATGGTGAAGATATTTAATTTCTTTTTGCTCTTGGCATGCGTTTTGAATCTCATCTCGGCGCGCCTTGTGACCCAGACTAATGCACGTGGGGTGGTCGTCGATCGCGTAGCTGAGCCTCAACCCTTCCTCTCCTTTCCCTTCGACGAGTACCACCGAATTCCCATAATCTAATGAATGGCCTAACCCCAATATCCTCTCGTTCAGCCTCACCGCCGCTTACCCTCCATGTACCATTCTATATATACCACGCATGTAAATATCTTTGCTGCCCGGAAGTGCGTGTGTGCAAATTTAAGTTGCTTAAAATTCTGTGTCCGCTCACTATAATTAATCATTTCGAAGCAATGTGACTATACTATCACTTTTACTCATTTCATTACTACTTTACTCATAAATTTCTCTTAAACTTTGTCAAGATTATTTTCACTTTCCAAATTAAATTTAACACGATTTTTGTATTTCATACAAAAAATTCTGCGGTAAATATCATGAATAAAATGGAACAAAATCGATAATCTCATTTACATTATCATAATTTACATAAAATTAAATTAATATCAAATTTATGTAAAAACAGTTACAAAAATTACTTATTAAAAGTCTTGTGAAGATACGACGAGAATAAATATAAATTAGCACCAAAAAATGCGTGAAAATTAATAAACTGAGATGTTTTGGTGAGAAATGTTGAACTAGATTTTTGCGAAAACGAATAAATCTATGAGTAATAATTTCCAAAGCGTCCTGTATTAACGCAAGAAATATGAACAAGGGCTCGCGTTGTTGCTAATTGCGTGTTAAATAGGGACGAAGTCGACGGCGAAATTCTTTCGTCCAGAAAATGGACCGGACGCAAGCCGGCGTTGATCCCAGCGCGGCGGAGTAAAGACGCGAAAATGTGTTTATCTCGGGAAATAATAAAAAGGGTGGCCCCGACGTCCGTGACGCCGAGCGATCGCAACGAAGTCGGGAATAATGTCTCGGACACGAGGCTCGTCTGCGGATTTGCTCCGGCCTCCATCGCCCAACCATCCACCCTACACTCCCCCTTTCGACCTCCTCCGACCTACCCTTATACGCGTGTCCGCCGCAGATTCAGACTCCTAATTAAGACGAGGGTGCGAGAGGGGTTTCAGGGGTTTCTGCCGGGTTCTCCCCCGAGGGGGCGGGGGCGTAGGTAGCGGGTGTATGGATGGAAGGAGGGTTTTCCCGAGGTAAGGGGCACCCGTATCGTGCCGGAGGGGTAAGCCAAGGCAAAGGGGGTAAGGAATATTGATCACGGGACCACCACGGCTGCGAGGCAGGGACTGCCCGCACTCGCCCTCTGCTTTCATCCGCCCATCCCCTCGCCATCCAGCTCCAGCTTTCTCTCGTCTCTCGTCTCTCTCTCTCTCTCTCTTTCTCTTTCTCTCTCGCTAACTTGTGTCTCTCACCTTCTCCCTTGTTTCCGACATCTTTCGCCGATCCTCTCGTTTTGAAGACGGCACGGACCGGGCCAAACTAAACCACCAAACGCCAGATGCGTGAAATCAGTCGGTTAGAATCTGCCCCGCAGCCTTTGCAAATTATTGACGCTGAAACCGCGAGATGTATGATGCCTGCACACTCTGTTTCGAAGTGGACTTTGAATAAAGAGAGTTGGCAAGTTCAACGCTTGCAAGGTAAAGAACTTCTAAGAAGAAACTTATAATCTTACACAGAGAGATAATTACTTCGTTCGATCAAACGCAGTGTGTAATGGTTTTGTTATAATATAATAATATTTTAGTGTAAAAAACTGCTTATAAATTTCTCTCATCATCTTATATTACAATAAATTCATATAGTATACGATGAGTCTTTCATCTCTATGGCATTTAATCACACGTCTCGCTAACTTGGAAATGTCTTCACGTCGTGACAAGGTTTACGAAAGTCGCAATAAGACATGGTCCTCTTGAAGGAAATTTTTGGCGCTGGAAATCCGAGTAGCCTGACGAACTTTGACGCACACGCTCGGCCGAACAAGATCTACGCTCTAGACGTGTGCAGCGTTCTCACGAGTTTTCGAGAGAGATCCTCTCGAATGGCGCGGAGAAGGAGGGCCAACTTGACTCGTTTCAGTGACGAGGACAGAAAACGAGGTAAGGGGAAAGGGCAGGGGGGGAGGACTAGGGGGCCAAGGGGTGAGCTCGAGTTTACACGACGTAGCGACTCGTCTTTCTACCCGTCGCCTTGCCTTAATTAAATCTCTAGACCCTTCCTGAAGAACCCGCGGACCTGGCAGGAAACTAGAAGAACCGCCTCCTCTCTTCTCGCTCTACAATTCACTGCGGTAACACGTCGTCTTCCATTGGTCCTCCGTACGTTGCCGCAAAAAATGCGCAAACTTATTGTTAGTAGTTACGATGTGCACTGACTTTCCACCCATCTGTTTATTTTGTCAGCTCGTTATCGCTTAATCAATATATCTTATTTTTTCTATACATTACTTTTTATTTCTCTTTCTTTAATAAATTATTTTATTTTTATAATATGTATGTTGCATGTAATTATACTTTTAGAAATATTATTACTAAAAATAAGATAATATTTTTTACTGGTGAAAACAAGTCATTTATAATATATTATACAAAATGATTCTTAATTGCTTGTCAATTTAAAAAATGTACAATAAAAAAATTATTCTGTATAATATAAAAAAGTTCCAATCAAATAGAAAAATATTGCAAATTGATTTGTTCAATAATGTACACGTTTCTAAGAAATGATAATTTAATTTATGCAAAGAGAGAATTTTGGTAGACAAATTATTACTATTCTGTAAATTCTCGATATTCTCGATATCCACGAAAGCAATCCGCTCGGAGCGGCAAATTTCTACAGCATGCACAACGCATTTTCTCATACACTCCACCGCCATTCCAGTGGCTTCAGATACCGTTATTCAACGTTGTAACGAACGTCAAGGGCGACCTCGACGAGACCGGAAGAGACCTCATTGTCCAGAGGCGGGGGCGCCGATAGGAGGGTGCGCAGCAGCGGCAGGCAGCCAACTCAAACTTTGATATGGTTTCCTAAATAACCAAGGCGACCGATACCGCAGCACGATAGTCCTCCTCTTCCTCTACCACCCCTCCCACCATCCACCCGTTCACCGCCTAGACCGATCTGCGGTGGTCCGGAGAGGGTACTGTAACTACCGTCGAAGCATATTGAAACCCTCGCACCAACGGTGACCTGACTCGCCACCCCAGGCAATCCCCACCCCTGCCAACCCGCGACCCGCCGTTCAAGACCGATACAAGGCTGCCGTCCATGCAAAACCTGCGGCATGAGTGCGTTTGTCGTTTCGTGAGGAAACGTTACTAACGCAAGCGGTAACGCCAACGTTTTCATAATGCCGCAAGTAGCGGTTAATCTGGCTGCAGAGTGACAGGTAATCTGCAAGAGGACTGCGCGAAGAGGGAAAAGGAACGAAGGTTGCGAAACCAATGGTTTTAAAGTCGATCACATTACGTTTCCCTGGTAGGTGGAACATTACAAAGTACCGTACATGGAGCAAGTAATAATATATGATTGGGATAACGCAAAATTATTGGATAGCAATTTCAAAAATGCATGAAAAATTAAATAATGTATAAAAAACAATATAATATAAAATGCACTCTTTCGCATTGTTTCTAGTGTAGAAAACATTTTTTATTTGCATTGAAATTTTTAATGATTTTCTAATAACAATACATTATTGGCAATACGTTAAAATTAATAACTCTTGATATATCTATTCTTCATTTTGCATTTTAAGTAGATAAAATCAGGTAAAAAATTAACGTGTAAATAGCCATTTAGTTTACAATTTCTTTTCTGCAGGCTACCAATAGACACGATGCCAGAGGTCGGCTGTTTGTCCGCTAATTAGAAGCTAACAGCAGAACTAAAGTTTCGAAGAACTTTAAAGTTTCTTGCACTCGCGCGGAAGCCTCTTGCTACCCATTCAATACCTCCTTTTTTAGGGTGGTAGAACGGCCACCCTTTAAGAAGAACGCCCTATCCACCTGCACAGCCGTCCACCTGTCTTTCTCTTTACCTGTCCTTCTCTCTCTATCCTCTTTGCTCCGAGCAGCGTTAATTACTAATTAATTGTTTCGCGTGTTTGAGTTTTAAATGGATAAGTTAAACAGCGCGTAAGAGGTCCAGACGTGGTATAGCGGCAGAGTCCACCCTTCTTTTTCCCTCTGTCCGTTTCTCTCGCTTCGCGTACGATTACCGTACAAACAGTGTACTGCCGGTTAACGAAGTTAGGATGACCGTGTTAGGTTGAGGAGAAGGGGTGCAACGCTCGTTCGTTTATTCATTTTTCACCCCGTCATCAGAACGCCGCGCCTCGCTTCGTGCCTCACGACGTAATATCTCCATCACGACGCCGAACCATCGCCGGCGCGTTCGAAGTTACCTCCGATCCGACGAATACGCGGATGCAACTTTAATAATATTGTCGTGAAAAGTTGTGGCCCTAGTTCTCATAATCGCATAATAAAATATAAATTTTACAGTTTTTCGACGCAAACACAAAAAAAGACATAGTCAGAAGAAAAGTTTATAAAAAAAGTTTTGCATTTACTTTATATATGCTACATTTTATTTTATTCAATATTGTTTTGATGCGCAGTTCTTCGTAAATGAATTTTACCATCACGATAAAATAAGTTCTATTTGTTTTTATTAATCGAGAAATTTTCTCTATTTTAAATTGTCATTCTTT